ATTCAATACGCAAAAATATTCATAATGCGGTTATAAGAATGGCAATTTTGTTACCCAAAAAGCCTGTGACAGCTATATTTGTAAGTCTGGCTTTTCTGCGTTAAAATAGTAAAATTCAGTATTCAGTAACCAGTAGAAGAAGGAAGGCAGCATAAGCAAATTTTCATGTCCACAAGGAAAGTGCTGTACGAATCAGTTGTCGTACCTGCAATGGTTTATGGTAGGCAGTGGTGGTCCATCACAAATGCTGAAGAAAGCAAGCTAGTTGTAACGTTAAAGGTAACTGAAAGAACAATATGACCGGGTATTCCTTCAGAACCATGTTCAAATCGCCATGGGTCAAGGTTGGACATGGTTTCTGGATATACTCGTTGCCGTGTACAGCTCGAAAGGTTGACGGTCTGAACGTGTGGCTTATCTGAAGGATAACAAGTTGACATGCCGAGTTACCGTTTCTTTTGTTATACATACAATGGTATAAACTTTCCAGCAAGTTCGATTTCGCCGAATTTTTCGACGCTCGTCTACCTCCAGGTATTGAATGAACCGATCGATATAGGCGTGACCACGGATTGTTTATCTACATGATTTTGTTGACTATGAAAAGGTATTTGGCATGGTGGAGCACGAAACAGTCTCCATACATTGAGACAGCAAGCAATAGAAGATTGCATTCGGATTCTGCAAAAAGCAAGCATGTTACAGCGCGAAGATTCAGCCGTTTAAAGATCCAGCTGAATTTACGGTTTCTAATAGGATCCTTCAATGAGACACAGCATCACCTAAGCTTTCTACTGCATGTCTTGAGTCAGTGCTCCGCAAAACAATGTGAAATAGAAGTCATTCAGTGAACGGCAGACACCTCACTCATTTTCCATTCGCTGATGACATGATGCTATTTGAGACGAAGGTAAAAAACCTCGAGGCTATACTGTCTGACCTAGAGATCAAGAGGAAGCAAGTAGGACTTCGGATAAATTGAGGGAAGAAGAAAATAATGAAAAACGAATTCTCACAACCGACTGCAATCACTATCAATAACGGCCAAATTGAAGATGCCACTGAATACTCGGCACGACTAATAGTGTCAGACAACTCGTTTGGCACAGACCTCGCTAGAAGGTGCCATGTGGCGTGTGGTACATACAAACGAAGAGGAGATGTTCCTGAAAGCAGAGGCATCAGTTCTGAGTTAAACTACATTGCGTTGCCATGCTACCAACTCTGCATGATTGCGAATGCTGGACATTAACGAAAAAGACGAATATCGCTTAAGAGTGCAGCAGAGCGTCCATCAGGGATAAACTGCCAAATGAAGAAAATTGGAAGACACATGAAAAAGAACGACATTGCCAGGTCAGAT